GAAATACGCCTAACCCCATCGTCCCAGATGGAAAGCCCATGCTGAAGCGATGTTCGGGAGAAGCATATGAAGTATATTTGACGCCATGTTGCCAGCTAAACCAATGGATGGACGCAGACGAAATCAGAATATCCAGAGTGATCGTCAAGTCATATATTCGGAAAAATCGTTGGGAGCGGGAAATATTTTATACAGAGTGGGACGTTCGGAACGTGGATTAGACAGATCAATCAAATAAAGAGGGAAAAAATAGCGCTAAACACTATAGATAGTCGAGTGAGCCTTCGGTTAAATATAATTACAGATATTCCAATGACAGGAATCCCAATAGACACACACAGAAGCTGGATACCAAGAAAGTTCGAACACCCCAGAAAACCAGTTACGGAGCTGCAAGTAGATCCGAAGTAAAGGTCTTATTTTTTGAAAGAGGGAGGTGTTGTGATCTATTAAACTCCTCAAAAAAAGCCAACAAAGGCTCTGAAAACGCTAAGAAGCATTTTATCCAATCACAATTCACTAGAAGTTTTGCCGGAATCACCTAGAGTTAAATCCACATGTCAAGTTTCTGATCGGATGACTACTTATACTGCTGTTATGTTCAGTAGCATTCCAGAATTTTCCGAAAACACAAGGCCATCTCCAATATTATAAAAACCCTAGATTTTTTGTACGTGAACGAACCTTTAGAGTAAACTATTTCTCCCCCCATATTACGCACCTTTTCTCTCGTTTTCAAGTTGCTGTGTAGATCTAGCCTGCGGGTTAGTAGAAGAGCTTAGGAACCGAATCTAGCTTTCAAATAGATAACTTATCACTTACTACAGTTCTATATTCTTTGTGTCGATTCTGTCCCATAATTCAAAACTTCTATAGGAAAGTTTTATTAACAGTACATTATTCACATGCACTGATATGAGCTGTGATGTTTCTTAGCATCCAATCAATAATTAATGTTTGAACAGACAAAAATAATGGAGCAACTTCGCGTGTGTGCATTTATGACCGTTTATGTTGTAGATGATACTCAGTTTATCTACCTTTGTCAAATTTGGTCAAATCACCAAGTTATATTAACCTAAATCCGAACACTAAGTTTTTTTCTCATTTTTCCATACGTTAAACTAGGATATTGTCTTCAAAGACAGTAGAAGCTCCATGATGAATCTACTCAGCTTAGAGGATATAATACCACCGAAATCCTTCTCATGAGTTACAAATATTCTCTAAAATCTCAGAAAATCATTTGCCTTTTAACATAAAGGCGATTGTTTCCGAGTGTATCAAGGGATTTCTTGACTAAACGGTTTCTTGGCTATAATTTCAGTTCAGATCCCAATAATTTTGTACATTTTTGCATGACACAGATCGTCCTTGACTGGGTGAAAATATTAAAAATTACACTTCAGTATGAATACATATATGATAAAATTAAATGTACATAGATACATTTATAAACTACATAAAAATAAAATATACTAGGTGTATTTTAACTCAATGATAAGTATATGTATGTGATATTACTATCAACGTGCTTCATAGCTTACACAAGAAGATAAAGGTTTTATAAATTTGCAATGCTGTATGGCATAACAACTCTAGATAAATTAAAAGGTTGTCTTTCTGGTTTGAATTGCGTTTAGCGATTTAAACAATAAATTGAGTTTTTATTGTAGAAAAATACATCATTAGATTCTTCTATTTTAATTATAAACTGGTCCTATAGATAATGGTAAACATTTCTAATCATTTAGATACTATACTGTAAGCATGGAAAATAGTAATTTTCATTTATTTGCTTGAGAAAAATATAATTCCATAAAATTCGGCCTAAGTTATATCACCAACAATCTCAAAAACTTCATTTGGTTTGCAAACTCTAGTATTTGGACCTAACATATCATGTACCCATTCTTCCCACGGAACGATAATTTGTTTAGGAGGCACGAGTATACGTGCTGTTGTGTGTGGGTCTTTAGGATACCAAATTAATGATTGGGCAGCATTACAATGGGGTGGATATGCTGCAGAGATGGGCAGTCTGTAAGGTTTATCCGAATTTGTTAAAATAACCCCATCATGTTGGATATCATAAATTTTGCGTATACGACTACCCAAAGGCATAAATGGATCAACCTTTATATGTAAGTCATATTCCCAACGTATTTTTTCCAATACAGTAATCTCATCTTTACATGAAAACTTTTTTCCATATTTGATAGCTACTAACCAAATCAGAAATTTTTGTTGTCTAATAATTTCAGTTAGTCGTACACCGCCAGAAAAAGGTAATTCCCAGACAACAGAAGGATGAAAATAATCTTTCACATGTAAATTTAGAGTTGATTTTTTCAAAGGACCTTTTTTAATATTATATAAACTTTGATGAACACTATAAAATGGATATTGTAGCCCATCACTATCATTGATTAATTGTCTCAGACCACTTTTTAATGGATGAAATTCCCAAAGTGATTGACCAATTCCTTCATAATCATTAACTAGATACATATAATCACAAGCTTGAACAAGACCAATTGTCCAATCATGATCAGATATACATGTAGGAATATCTATTTCAACTTCACAATAAAATGTTTGAGTTTTATAATAAAGCATCGAATCCGTTTCTTCGATTTCTGTGCTTGTTGTATCGTCATAATAAGCTCGGACCCTTTTGACATGAAATTTATCTAGGGTCAGTTTGTTCATCTAATAGCCAGAACATGGATTCTTTTTAAATGTTAATTTGTAAAAAGTTAATAAAAATTAATATCCGAATTCTAAATAGATCCTATATATTGAAAGATTTTTTAAAAATTGATTCAGAAAACAGACATTCAAAAAGTGGTTAAAACGTAACGGAAATTTCAACAAGCTCAATTTTAAGATACTATTCTCTGGTCGTTGGAAGTCAGTCTGATAATTTTAAAATAATTGAAAATCGATTACATAACGTGCATCAACACAATTAATGTAGAAAATATGTGAAAATTAAGATGGTGTTAACTGATGGAATTTTTTTATATAAAAGTTCCAGTTGAGGTGGACTATAAGTTAGAATAATAAAACATTCCCGACCATACTTCGTATCATATGACCGTTACTGAAAATGACTAAATGTAGAAGCAACGAGTTACTACACAAAATGTCCTGCAAAAAAATTATTTTCTGTGAAACTATAGGATTTGGTTAACTGTAGTTGTAAAAACTTGTAATTTATTGATAATCTATTCGTTATTTGCCGGACTAATTATCCATTAGGAAAATAGACAATTTCTGAGTATAATTTGTTATTTATCATATAAGTGGAGCACAAAGTACTAGGAGAACAAACAAAGTACTTAGTTAATGTCACTTTCTTTACACATACATGAGCAGAAGTTTGTCCACTATACAAGCACTATAACAGATATAATCTTGACTGGAAATAAAAGAGAATATTAGGAAAACATACGACCTAACTGATCACATGTTAAAACATAATACAAGCTGAAAAAAGGAGTATAAAAGTTCATATCAGTTCTTAAATGATGATAGTTGCAGAATATAAATGTGTGCATCACTCCAAGTTGCCAAAATATATCAACCTATCAAGTTGAAATTACCACGACAAATTCCAGAATAGTAGAAATAATAACGGTATCAGTGATAGTAGAAAAGGTTAGGGAAGGCATAACAGCAATTATCCAACCAACCAAGATATTTAATTTGGTTCACACTAGCTACGATATATTATGAAATATAAAGAAAAAAGTATGCGTTGGGTACGACGAAATTGAATAATAACCTAAATTCACCAAAATTTGTAGAGGAATGTACTCAACTACCAACACCTACTCCTTAACTACTTAAATCACGTAACTAAATCTCGCAGTTATATCAAATCGGATAACAGTACAATGCTGAGTAAATTATTCTGCAGCTACTTTTTTGTGATTATCACGAACACTAGTTTTAGTCTCGAAGAGTGAAATGTGTATCAGTATATTTGGATAATGATTTCAGAAACTCAGTTAATGTTAATAAGACTCGAAGACCGTTGATGTTTTAGTGGGACATGAATTTTTGAGTTCGCCTCTTCTTAGTTGTGGGCTCTTTTAAAAAATATAATTATAAATACCTATTTATAACTTTTAAATTACGGGATTCAGTCCGCCTACCAGCCCTGGTACAAACTCTTCCAGAGAAAGATACTTGGGAGGAAGAGATGACATGGTAACTGACTTTACACCATTAATTGACTTTATTCACAAAAAAATTAACAATAAGTATGAAGACCGTTAAACTTGATTTTCGGCTACAAAAACAAGAATCGAACATTTATTTATTATTATCAGAAGAGGGTTTTGTGGAGATTTTAGTAATTTCAATTGTTGAGATCATGAGTCAATTGAAGCTGGATCACCATGGAAAACCTGAACGGCCATTTCATCTTATCGTGGGATTCCTCAACAAAGCGCATCCACGATCCCGCCCCGCGGGATTCGAACCCAGGACCTACTGGTCTCGCGCGCGAGCACCTAACGACTAAGATCTCCACAAAACCCCCTTCTGATAATAATCAACATATGCTCACTAGTAACTGCCTTCAAGATGTATATCCTAGAGTTTTAGTGAGAAGCAGTGACCAGTGTAGTTCAACTGTGTCGGTTGTGAGATAGTGATTCACTGATGACAGTGGTGGATGTGTTGCTCAAGTTCGTGGATTAGTTGAAGTTAGGCATTAACACCGTCGGATATCGGCTCAGTGATCTAGTGGTTAAGTGCTCGTGCGCGAGACCAGTAGGTCCTGGGTTTGAATCAAGCGAGGCGGGACCATGCACTGCTGAGAAGACCCGCAATAAGACGAAATGGCCATCCAGTGCTTCTAGGTTTTCCATGATGATCTAGCTTCAATTGACTGATGATCTCAATAACTGAAATTTATTTATTGATTCAGTATAAATACAGTGTCATATAATGAAAAATAAATTCTTTGTTGAATCGAATTCCCATAACATATATAAGGCAAAACAAAATGTTTTTATTCAAATTTGTAATGAATTTTATAACTGGTAAGGTTTCCATGAACAATAACTTACATTGAAACGAGAAGATACTAACATCATTGCATTGAAACAAGAATTAATTGAACAACAAACAGGTGAGAAAACACGTGCGCATATAGTATGGAAGAATAAATACATTTAAAACAGGTACGCATATAAGATAGCATTTAAATATGGGTAATTGTTCTTTTTGATTTTACATTACATAAAAATTCATCATTCAATTGATTAATGAAACTTGTTTAAAATAGCAGCTTGACCAATATGAACAATAAATAAACACTCATACATTTTGAAATGGACATTAAACATAAAATAATCATGAAAAGTATCTTTTATAACGGAAAAAGTGTACATAGAGAGAAACATAAAAGTAATTACATGATGAAACGAAATGTATATGCATGTGTGCATAATGTTTTTACCATCACACTAGGTAATTTTTGAGAAACAGAGATCGTTATCACAGTTATTCGCTTGCTTTTAAAGCTGCAATGAACTCTTCTAATTTCTCTTGAATATGTCTTGTTCGACCTGTCAAAAAGAAAAAAGCTAGCAGTATGCACAACTGAAACAGGATAGTGTAGCGAAAAACAAAGAGTTTACTGGTTTACATTCATTAAAAAGTAAAGAAAATTACCCTGAAGAAGTTCAGACAAGTTAGCTGGACGAAACGTTGCGATTATTTCAATTTCAATCGCTGAGATTATTTTACATATAATGGCTTCTCTGTACTTAGCGCCCAATTTCTTGGCGAATATTCGTATAAATTTTCCAATAGAATTAAATTAGGATATCGAATTGACGAATACAGTGTGTTTATGACTTGGTAAACCTTTTGACCTGAATATGTATGCTAAAATGTATTTTAGTCGGCGACTATTTTAAGATAGTCTCACTTTCACATATTTTTATCATGGTGGTCTAGTTTCAATTGATTCATGATTTCAACTATTGAAATTACCAATTCTCCACAAAACCCATTCTAGTAATATTTTTATCAATCAAACTACTAAACAACTAATTTACCAGGATCCAAAACAATTTCTACAGCGACAACTTGAAACGACCTACGTAGGTTTTACTAATTGTCCCAGCCAGACATCCAAATTATCAGTAGAATTCATCATGCTTTTTCTTTTCGTACAATAATAACAAAAACTGAACACAAAATGCAGACAGTACTTTGAAATTATCACTGATTTTGTCTTGTCGTCACATTAGATATCATGTTTCTTATATATGATGAAAAAATATCATAAGTATTTGTTGTGTCTTGTTACTGAGTTTCAGCCCAGCCTACGATGTTACGGATCTAGAGACGAAACGACTGAGCTACTATAATACTGTCGGTTCTTTTTGGAACTGACAACAGTCAATTATACTCAACACATAGAACCTCGAAAGCTAAGATAGGAAGAGAACGGAATTGCAGGTAACTTGACATTCGTGATAGGACAAGCAATTCAAACGAAACTGGTACAAAAGTTGTTACCTAGTCGCAGAATATAACCTACAAGCATGTAGCTTATTCAGTAACAATCAGTCAGAGGGTAAAGGTCATGTGGTAAATTGAATTAGTAGAAAATGTGCGAGCGATTATCGTTCCTGAAGAAATTTTAGTCTTTCTAGTAAAATTTTACTCTTGCGACCGCCTTAGCAGTATTCTTTCATACTAGTAGCTACGATTATCGCACTACATACACTAAAGAACAGTGGCTTTTTGGTCAGATCATTCAACTCTAAACCATAAGACCTTAAGTTCAAACTCCAATCTACATAGAATTTGATAACTGACTAATTTCACTAGTTTTCACAGGGAACATGTGACTCCAACTCCAGTCAATAAAAATGTACAAGGTTGCACTGCACATACATACAATTATATATATATATATATATATATATATATATATATATATATATATATATATATATATATATATATTGAAAGATATATATGCTATATATGCGTTTTCTTAATTTCTGGCCTAACTACAAACAAGCAACGTCATAATACTTCCAGGAATTTTAGTTTGTTAGGATGCTATAATAATTAACATTTCAAGTATTAAAAACTAATATAACAGATTCCATGACTCACTTAAATCTTCAGCTAATTGTACACGTCTGCCAGTGATAAGCTTCTTTACACGAATAGGATCATTAGATAATTCGTTTAAAACTTGCTTTACATAATGTTCCAAACGACGTGCTAGTTACAAATAAATAGTATGGGGAGGAATCATTAAAGATATATTCTCAATTACTGGGAGAAAAGGTTAAATCTGATTGATGATTAAAACTGTTAAATTAGTAGCATATAAAAACCAATAAATTAAATAAAACAACTTCATACGAATCGACAAAGAGACAACATATCAGAGATACAATGCCTACCATTACCTAAGATTTTGATCACTTTTCCAAAGATCTAGTAGGAACTGGTCAAGTATGGAATGAAGCAACTTGGTGGGAAGATATTAACTCACCGATGACAGTCAATGAGAATCGTACAGTGTTATAAAATGACCTAAGATAGATATATTTAATAGACACGATTCGGTCCAGTTATTTTATGAGACCGAGAGACCTGAACATCTTCAGTTTAGCCCTGTGTGCAAACATGGGTGTTCGCTGTCGAGGGATTATGAACTGGAGTGACACAATATTCGATGGTCACTTTTAGTGGTTTTTATGCTGATGAGAATTGGTGATAAAGAATAAACTTTCAAATAAACGGGAATTTTCAAGAAACAATCTCACTCAATAAATATGATAAAGTTGAAAAAATATTAAAACAATATTGTTTTTATTACACTGAAGTGTGAGTTATGTCAATCAACTAGTTTGAATAAAGCTTTATAATAAGCTGAAATATTCAATTCTTAGGTATTTAAACTGTATAAAGTTAAAACAATAAATCTATATGGACTAAGAAGCCATCACAACTTATCAGAATGACTCTGTACAACAGGTATACTTTACACAACGCCATAAACGTGGGTGGAACATACTTGAGAAATTGTGTGAACCAGAACACCAAATAAATGAAATGTTGTTTAAAGTATGTGGATATTACATAACGTCTTAAATAAAAACGTCATACTAGGAAACCAAAAATTACCATTAGTTGTTTATATTTAAGTCATTTTGAGATAGAACAATTAAATACCAATCAATAAACAAACCATCTGAGATCTTTCAGTAACTTAGAATCCAACATACATTTTGTAGATATGTACATAACTTAAACGTAGACACAAATTCAATTTTTCATAAAACATTTTTAAAGAACGTTTTTCAAGCCTTAGAGAAGCTTTTATTATTGCACTTTTGCACCCGAGTTCTATCGAAACTTTCGTATGTTTGCCTATCGTTCAACGACTGTGAAGTACATCTAAGGAGAAATCCAATTGCATACACCAATACATGAAGTAACAAGGACTTGCTACAACCCTTTATTGAACTGTATTCCTGACATCTATACACGATGTAGCAAATGTAGTTTACAGCACTGAAATCTTACATATAATTCTCATTATCAGAAGTAATTAGATTCAGTTACTAGATTATAACCATACAACTTACCTTCATCATTCATAATTTGTTGCCTAAGCGCATTACTAGTTGCATTCATCATACGATTCAGGCGAGAGAAAAAGATCACTTCACGACAATCAGGGAAATCAGATGACAATGAATCTTTACGTAAACGAGAATTTTCAGCTGCATTAGATGCATGTTCATTGCTATTAGAGGATTTATTAAATGAAGATGTATTCAGAAAACCATGCTGATAATAGTAAAAGCCTTTTCGACACTCTTGACAAACAAACAAAGATCGTTCAAGATAAAAACGTCGAACTAAAGGTTCCCAAGTTTCATAAATCTGACAGCAACGTAGCATTTGAAAGTAAACAAAATTGAAATCTTTTAGAAAAATTACGCATTACGTGTGAAAAAAGTAAACTATTGGCTAAGCAGTGTCTTTGTGAATTCCTTAAAATTTAAAAATACAGATTTCCATTTTTCAAAATCTGATTGATTAACGTGATAAAATTAATACTAGCCTTACTTTATTTTGTAGTTTCTGGAGTATCGCGGTCACGGGTAACTATTCATACACTTTGTTTACTATACACAAACCAACAATGAAATTATAGCTTTTTAAGAATTCTATCATTCAGTTTTGTCTACGACTTAAATGCTGAGAATTTTGGGAGTCTAGAATTAGCTAAGGAGCCAGTATCTTAATAGAACAGTTTTATTCATGAATCCATAAAAAGGCAATACAGTGACTAATCTGAAAAAAAAAATTGTTAAGAATTAGGCTGTTCAGTTCAAAATTTGAAAATAGTCAATACACGTTCGAAATACAATATTTATAAACTTGCTACCCCACGTGGACGAACATAGGCCGCCTAAAAGCATTCCCCATCGAACACTTTCCTGAACAATCATTCCCAGCTGCTTCCAGTTGCTATTCATCGTTTTCATGTCTGCTTCCAATTCCCGGTGCAGTATGTTCTATGTTCTTCCTATATACCGTTTCCATCAGGATTCCAAGTTAGGGTTTGCTTCGTGATGAAATCTGATGATTTCTGTAATGCATGTCATATCCACTTCCAGCGTCTTTTCCGAATTTCCTATTCAACCGGAAGTTGGTTTGTTATTTCCCCCAGTAGACTGTTGCTGATGGTACCCGGTCAACCGACATTGAGTATTTTGTGTAGACAATTGTTTAGAAATACTTATACTGTTTCGATTATGATTGTAATAGTTCTCCAAGTTTCAGCTCCATACAATAGAACTGTCTTGATGATCTTATTGAAGATTCTGACTTGGATATTGGCTAGCACATAGTTGTTTTAAATTCCATATGTTCTTCAACTGTAGGGATGCTGTCTTTATTTTGCCAACACCTGACTCTGGGTTCATGTTGACCAGGTATGTGAATGTTTCCACCTCTTACAGAGTTTTTGCATCAAGTTTAATTGTGTTGATGTTCCCTGTGTTCCACAATATTCTCCTATCCACACTGCAAAACTACTTTTCATAGTCAAGAAAGTTGATGTATAGTGATGAATTTCATTCAAATGATTGTTCAATAGTGATTGTTGATGCCGCAATTTGGTCTATGTACGACTGATCCTTACGGAATCCAGAACGTCGATCTCAAAACTCGACGTCCACTGAATCTTTCAACCGGTTCAGCAACACTCTGTTGATAACGTTTCCAGGTACCAATAGTAATGTTATGTCTCTGTAGTTCTCACATTTGCTTAGATGTCCTTTCTTTGTTTTCTTGATGAGTTATCCTTCGTTCCAGTCTGTCAACATTTGTTCCTCCTCCCACATCTTCCTGAATAGAGTATGAAACATGTTTCCGTTTACTTCCATGTTTGACTTCAGTGCTTCAGCTGGCATGTTGTCGCGTCCGGCTGCTTTCCCACTCTCGATTGATTTGATAGCCATCCTGATCTCTTCGATCGTTGGTTGAGTGATATCTATAGTAAGGTCTGTGTGTGCTGCTTCGATGTTTGGTGGATTCGATGGAACTGGTATACTCAGGAGTTCTTCAAAGTGTTCTACACACCTGTTCCTCTGTTCTCCCAATCTCAGTGACTAAATTGTCTTCTTTGTTCTTGATCGGTCTCTCTGGTTTATTATATTTCCCTTCCAGTTTGATATTCCTTTCTCTTGCAGCTTTTTCCGCCGTCGTTGCTATGTCTTCCACGTAGTTTTCCTTGCAGCTTTAGTGCTCTTCTTCACTTGTTTGTTTGCTTCAGTGTGTATTCAGCATGTGCCTTAACTTTCTCTGTTCTTATTAAGCAGTTGTTAATTACTATCTTCATAAACGAACAGATTTATCTTGAGTTTACAGCGATGAGCAGTTCTACGTACATTGATTAAATAATGTATAAAACTCTGGAATTCCAATGATTCATAAAAATTAAAGACAAATGCTGACCAAAACTGAAAGAAACTAAATCCTATGCCTAATGAAGCAGCTAAAAATGTAGCCCGATTAATTTCACAATCATAAGAACTAGGAAACGAAACTATGGAGACACTTATTATTGTATCAAACAAGTGTAGCTGAATAGTAATAATTATTACTTAACAGGCCACATAGATAAGTTTCCTTTTAGATAAAAAAAACTCACAATTTTATCAGTCACAGGAACACCACGAGCTTGAAGATTACGTCTAATAGTAGTTAAATCATCTTGATTAATATGAGCAGATGGTTTCTATATAAAGAAACAAAATGAGCAATTTAATAGAGAATTTAATTAATTTTCAAAAACACCTAATAAAAAATGCAGAAATTATTACATATTAACAAAATCTACGAAAATAAAACAATCAGATTTACTGTTTTAAATTTTCATATTGAAAAAATATTTGCATTTTGTGACAATCCAAAATGCCATAGTTAGATAAATAGCGAGATTTTCTAAGCATCACAAATGCAACATAGATCAACTTAATGTAAAAACATGTTGACTCGTATCAGTTGGATTTAGTTATAAGACAGTTTTGTAAATATAACTGTATGACATCAGTTAGATTAATAATATGTTGAACAGTGTTAAATAATTTGCAGTGCAACTGGGTGATGAGTTTATATTTTATCCATTTCCATAAGTTAATATTTTATGTGATATAAACCGAAATCAGATATGCATTATCAACACTTTCACTGTAGCAAATCATCACGACTACACATAAACCTACATTCTTCGGTTTTAATATATCTGTTTAATGTATAACCCTGTTTTTGTAGTGCTACGCTTACAATCATCGACTGAGGCTTCTGTTATGCATAATCTCTGTCTACAAAAATGAATATGCTGCCTTTTGTTATTTATTGCTTACTTTAAATTTACAATAAAAGTTGTAGAAGAACTATTAATGATAAACACTTGGAACGATAAATTTAAGATAGATTCACTCACTCAATAGCAAACTCCAACACATGCAGACGGACATGAAGCTAATGACCGACCTGTGATGGTCTTAGAAACAATACTATTTCAAAACCAGGCGAAACTATAGTGATGAAAGTGATTAAACGGGAGTGCATTTACTCTGAACCGTGAAGCTGTTATCTAACATTTATTTATTGCCCTATCCGTTTGCACAGTAAGATATGAGAAATTTAAATATATCACTTGGACATGTAGCAAAAATAGTGGTTTCAATGATACGCTCGTTTTTACTTTAGTAAAACTAATATTAAAAACATAAAGACGGTGATTTACTAAGATAAGTGAAACAACTCTCACTGGAAGTGATATTAATAAATTTTCAATCTCTTGAGCGGTTTGTAAACGAGCATCTTCTTCTGCTGTGCGTTTTTTCCAACGGGTCCATTGCTCAACCCATCCAGGACCAAAACTTGAAGTAATCGACTGATTCACTGAGGAGGTAGAAAAGACAAATATTTTTTTCAGGAAACAAAATGGAAGATTACTGTTGAAAAGTTTCTATGAATGGGATCCAATGTACGTTTGGTTCCGGGAAAAGGGCAAGTATTTTATTATTATAAATATCATCATAGTCTAATTTTACACTTCGAATCAGAAAAAATCTAGCAATGAAGATTATGTCTAGCAATCAAATTAAACAATTCAAACAACAGAGTCAGTAATTACGAAAAAGAAACTAGAACACCAAGTGGAAAATATATTATAATGTAAGTCGCTTACCGGCTAGTAATTTGTAAGTTACAATTTTAGTGTAAGGGCTGGTGACACTATCACCTAATTGTCTAGACGGATGTAAGTGGAGCAGGACTCGAAATTTTGACCTGTCAGTCAAAAATCCATCACTAACCTAACGCTTCATTCGAGCGAAAAAAATGAAGTAATGTAGCTTCGAGAGGAAATTGTTTTAGTGAGAAGTCGTGACAGGTAAAGTTGAATCGTGTCGAATGTAAGACAGCTGCCCACTGAAGACAATAAATAGTCGCGCTTTATTGTGGACTGATTGAGGTTAGACATGAACACCGTTGGATGCCGGCTCAGTAATCTAGAAGTTAGGCGTTCGCCCGCGAGACCGAAGGTCCTGGGTTCGATTGCCTTATGAGGGATCGTAGATGTGAACTTCTGAAGATTCCCATACTAAGATGAAACGGCCGTTCAATACTTCCAGGTTTTCAATGGTAGTCCAACGTTGAACAGTTCATGACTTCAATGAAATTCAACAATCTCCAAAACTCTATACTTACAAATTACGATTGTTAGAAAGAAAGAAATATGCAACTTTGTAACTTATTGTAATATTAGTTAATGCAATTAAATCTAGATCAATAAATTTAAATTTGTATATAGACCTATTAAGTAAATCAAACGTAATTCAGTATATTTTGAATCAATGTTGGATTTGTTTGAAGAGTAATAAACTCTTCATCTGCAGTTTTACATTCTTTCTTACATCGAACCGTACCAAACATTGTTTAGTTATTACAGGTAATATAACCAGCTTTGTTCGGAGGATATAAGAATTAGCTAAACTAGTATTTGTCTAGTTCAACAATAACAAGCGAAAAAAATATACGATCACTACTGTGTAAGTCATAAGATTTATAAAAAAAACTCACCATCTTTTAATCGAGCTTTAACTGCTTGTTCTAATAGATCTACAGCAGCGGTCCACTGAGATTTTGTATGTACAGTATGATCGTCTAAAGCATTCGACTGTATGACACGCTAAGATGAAATTAATTAATTACAATAACAGATGTATTCGGGAAAAATATATAATAGAAATATAAATTTATCAATTCACAAGTGTTTGACTAGAGAGTCCCATACACTGTATTTATTAATAGTCATAGGATAAATATTCAAACAGTCGATTGATTTAAAACCATAACCTCTTTATTAAGAAACCAAACTAAGTACTTGATAAAAGCGTGCTAAAAAAGTTATCAAGTGACCTTGGAAATAAACAACTAGTATGAAGTTAGTTATATTCCGCGTAAAGATGTTAGCATACCAACAGAAATGTGGGGTAATTCGTCAAACGCAACCGGAAATGACTTGAAAAAGGAATATTTCAATACTTTCAGTACGTGCGAAGTCAGTCAACAGGTGAAATGAAGTTATCGCGAAACACACTAAATATGGCCCTTATTTATAAACTTCACATGCTTGAGATATTTTAGAGTAAATACTGGGGGCAATTTTTTTCTTTCAAAGTAGACCTAGATTCCTATTTTTTCGACCTGCAGTAAACTGCTGAAATTTTACAATATACTTTAATTGTCTCTGATGGAAAGACAGTTTGTTGAAGATATCAAACCGTATTTTAACTTAGCCCACTGACAGACTCACGTTTTCCAGTTTAACATGAGTTTTTTCCGAATTGTTTACACAAGCAGTGAAGAGATTTGACAAACTTTGAGCTTTCAAATTACCTGAAAAATAAACTAACCACAACTTGGATAAGCAGAGGACAGGCCGAATTTTACTGTCAGTCAGTAAAAACGTGGAACTTCGTACGTACGTACATCAGTTCGAGTTGCCATACCACATTAGCACAGAGATTCAGTTATCGATTCAAATCCCGTAGTGGTAGATGTAGTGATAGGGAACATTAGGGTTTGAAGATGTTATTCAAGGAGTATAGTCCAGTAGAATAGATTTGGAAAGAAAACAAAAGACATGAAGAATACAGAAGATTAGAGTTTGAGAGAACACAAAGAGTGGATGCACCTGCGCCATTGCAAACGATTTTCAGACATGCCATTCAAGATCTCCAACCATCGGTTGCTATCGTCTCGCAGATCCCAACCAAGTGGTCTACACCTACTAACATGGCTCAGTCCACTTGTCCGTTACTTCATGGATTTGTGCCATGTTTTGGTCTGGCCGCCCCTAGCTTTCTTCCAACCTACTCCTACACCATAAAACATCGCACGTCAGGGCAGTTGGTGGTCGGGCATACGTAACACATGTCCCAGCCATCTCAACTGATTAAGTTTCACTACTTCAATTGGTTTGCCATCCTTACCTAGTACCCGTTTCCTAACAACTGCATTACCTACTTGATGGTCCCAGGATATACGAGCAATGTTTCGAAGACATCTATGATCAAATACTAGTAACCTACGAATATCCTCTAATCTTACTGGCCATGTTTCACTGCCATAAAGTAGGACGCAACGAACTGCTGCGCAGTAAACCCGTCCTTTGGTTGATAGTCGGATATCTTGCCTACGCCACAAATGACGCAAGTTGGCAAAAGCTAGTCGAGCCTTCTGTATCCGTGCTGAGATTTCGTCACACACCAGACCACAAAGGCTGATCAGACTTCCAAGATAAGTGAAGCGGTCGACACACTCAACTACTTCACTCCCTATCACTAGTTCGGGTGTCGATGCTACCCAATCGTGAAGCAACATTTTGCATTTCGAGGGAGAGAATCGCATCCCGAACATGCCTGCATTGTTGCTTAGAGTGGTCAGCAGACTCTGTATTTTGTCAGCGTCCTCACTAAATAGAACTATGTCGTCGGCATATTCTAAGTCTATAAGTGAATTTCCCGGTAGAAGTTCAAACCCTGGAAAGTCAGATGTGGAAAGAGTTATCTCTAAAAGCACTTCAATGATAAAGTTAAACAAGAATGGAGAGAGCTGACAGTCCTGACGAACACCACTTGAGGCAATCAATTCTGATGACAGTTCGCCATAAGCTCTCACTCGACCAGTTGTGTTCGAGTAGAGAACCATTATAAGGTTAATGTACTTCTTTGGTACTCCTTTCAGAGACAAACACTGCCATAGAACCTCACGATCAACTGAGTCAAATGCCGCCTTAAGGTCGAGAAATACTACCATTAAGGGGCGTCTGAATGTGTGTCTATGTTCTAGGACCTGACGTAGTGTGAATATTTGATCTATACGACCACGTCCAGGTCGAAAACCAGCCTGGTTTTCTCTAGTCTGCTCTTCACGAGCTTTCGTCAGGCGTCGAAGTATTATTGAAGCTAATATTTTAGACACTATATTAGTCAAACTAATACCTCTGTGATTGTCACAAGAAGACTTTTGTCCTTTCTTATAGACTGGCACAATCAGTGATTGAGACCAGTCAGATGGGATTACGTCCAGTTCCCAGATTCTACCTAAGACCTCAGTCAATCTCGCTGCTAATACTGAACCACCATCCTTAAAAATCTCCGGGGTAAACCTGTCAGGGCCTGCTGCTCTCCCATGCTTCAGATTTCCTATAGCTTTTCCAACTTCGTAAGGAGTCGGAGGACTTACATTAATTTGCCATTCAGGTCGACTGGAGATCGTGGGAAACCGAAGTGTGGCTAGAGGCCAGTTGAACTGATCCTTAAAGTGTTCTGCCCATCGATCCAATCTCCTGGATTGAGAATGAATAATATGTCCATCTTTCTCTGAGATTGTTTCGCTAACAGTTGGGTTCCTAATACCGGTGTCCTTAACAAGTCTGAACAGTTGCCTGCTGTTACCTATTGCCGCTGCCTTTTCCATCTCTCTTGCTTTCGCTACCCACCACTGTTCACGATCATTGCGTAAGCTTCTAGTCAACTTACGCTTAAGCTGACTCCGCTCTTCGTTATGTTCAGAGCCAGATGGAATGAGTTTACGAGCATCTATCAGTGCGGTAGATGCTGCTGAAATCCAGTGTTTCTCCCTAACCTTATGGTTTAACGTACTTGCAGACATCGCTGCTGTTTCTACAGCTTTTCGGATGTTATTCCACTCTGCCTCGGGGTGGGTATCACTTACATGGCAGCCTAACTGTTTTTTTAGTTGTTCCTGAAATATACTCTTAGCTTGACTACCATTAAGTAGTACCCTAAGGGGTTTCCTTGTACCATCTTTCCTACGTCCAGTAAGACGTAGACAAATACGTGCTCGCACTAGAGCATGATCTGAGTCTAAGCATGTGCTCCAGAATGAGCGACAGTCTTCTATCGAGTCCCTCCATCGGTGGCTGACAGCGATGTGATCTATTCGGGTCCAACATCTAAAAGATGTTTTTCCTTATGCTTAAAGTTAGTGTTTGCAAGAAACAGGCGGTTATCTGAGCATAGCTGCAACAGACGGTCGCCGTTATCTGTTCTTTGAGCCGCGACACCATAAGATCCACCCAGGTGTCTTTCCCTTTCGCTTAGTTTACCTACTTGAGCATTAAAGTCATCAGCCACCATTACTACATCTGAACGCCTAGCTTTTCGGAGAAGGTTGGAAAGCTTTCTGTAAAACTCTTTTACATCATCTGAGCTGCAGTCAGTGGGAGAGTAGGCAGAGACGACGAAGAGGCAACGACGAGTGTCCCTATCTTTTCGAGTCCTTACTGTTCCGTTTAGTCGGACAGCACACGAACGACTGTCTACTGGGATCCAGTCTAAAAGAGCTAGTTCTGCCCTAGGACTCAATGCTATACCTACGCCAGCGAGGCCGCGGGAAGCAGCATCAGGACTTTCAGATACACGAAGCGTAGATTGAGTTGGTTCTTTATTTTGACATGGTGAGGTCAAAGAATGACACTACTAGGATCCTGTGTGCACGTTTCGGAGACGCAGCACACATCGATGGAGCGAGATTCTAAAGTCTTAGCTAAGGAAGCCTGTTGTCCTATTTGACACAGTGTTTGGACGTTGAAAGCACCTACGTGTAGTTTAGAGCGTAGTTTCAGGAGACCAGAAATAACATTTCGCGTACTCGAATCGTTTGCACTAGCGGTGCGAGGTGATAAAGGGACGTGAGAAGGGTTAGTCGTGGAGATAAGAGAGTTATTAGGAGGTGTAGGAAGGATTTGAATGTGACCAAATTGGTCTCGTTTGCTGTTACGGGTATGAGGGCTGATGTCACTTCCCGGTTTCCTACACCGTGGAAGGGTATTTCTGGAGGAACCTGAAAAGGAAATCGGATTAGTGTTGGTCTTAGCGACCTGGGTGCGTGACCGCAGAGCCCAAGGGACAACTGCTTGAGGCCGGTCGCGCACGGCCTTTTCGTGGGAGGTTTTTAATGTGTTAGCTCTGTTCTTCAAACGGCCTTACCGCCGGAGACGGAAATCCGTGGGTAAGGTAAAGCGTGACATTTTTAGGGTCAACCTTTCCTAACCCCTTTCTTCCTTGTGAGAAGGCAGCATCGCTGCAGATGCTGGTTGTCCGAGGGAAACACCTTACTGCTGTCACACCTCTGTACAGTCAGCAGTACGATTTCGCCCTCAGACCTTGAGTTGCTGCTTTTAGTCTTTACTGTAAACTGAAAAGACGAGCAAACAAGGCGAAAAGTAGTCATTGTTTCTGATGGCTTCAACACACAACAAAGATAAATGAGTTGAACGTAATGTGCTATGTGGTTCATGAATTTGAAATACCAGAAAAACGATAGCTTGTTACACCACTAGTGTTAAATGTATATATGAAAGAAAATGCATAAAAATGATAAACTTACCAATCTAGATTCAGCTTTAGGATCCCAGTGATGACGCTTACGAATTTCTTGATGTACAGTCACTTTTAATGGATCAAATACTGGATCATAACCAGGTACATCTTGCATTGTTTTTAATTTACTATCCAGTTGATTGTATAATGTTTGCAAACCAGTTTCAATTGAAGCTTTCGGTAAATTATTTTCAACCCAATCACGAAGCCAAATATCAACGTTTGTCTGAAAGGTTCTAGGAATTGGAACAATTAAATAAATCTAAAAAAACACTGACTATTTTGTTAATTTCGATCGACATTAAGTTTTTAATTAGTGATTTTACGGTGCAAATTTGCATATCCGCTACAGAATCTTTAAAATAGGCAGCTAATAATTTGGAAAAAAATAAATTAGTTCACTGTAACTCAGTAGGATAAATTAAAAATTGTGTTTACACATATCTGTGTTGGCTGAATGTACTAGGTGCTATTTAGACATAAATGTACAGAACACAATTTGAGTACGGGACACACTAGCTAAAAGTCAAGTAATTAAGTTAGGATGAAAGCTCAGTAGCATATGCAGCACTAGAAGAGTTTGTAGACAATAGATAAATCACACACTTTGTGTTCATTGAATATATGAGTCTGCCTATTTAGTTAATGATAGAAAGGATCAGTTCCCTATTTTTAAATGTTCTTATGTATGTGGCTAAGGTGACATATGCACCACATGAATTTCACATTAAGCATTAATTGCTGAACGTGACGCTGAGAATGATCGATCAAAACTGGACCGATATGATAGACATTTCACACTGTAAATAAATAGGTTGATTAGCTTAGCTTACCTAGGATACAAATAACGATAATTCTGTGGTATTGTCTGATATGATGGCCAAGTTGACATTTATTGGAGAGTGTGAGATCGAAAACGGATATTGTTCAGTTGGTTGTAGCATCTAACCATATTTAGTTCATGTTTATATTTGTACATAACCATTTTATTTTATTGCATATAAAAATCTATTCCGCTGAGTAGCTATTCTGTCTCAGTTGGGTGTCTACGTCAATCGTTTGGTCTCACGAGCAGTTATCAATCGACTACATCGTACAGATGTGCATTATCAGCTGATTAGCGTTGGATCTATTGATTTAATAATCTCCCGAATGTCTTTCATTACTAACTATCAGATTCTAATTCACAACATTATCACTAGGATTGCAATAATCGGGGTTATTGAATCAAATACTATTTTTCGCAACTCAGTCTAGATAACAGGATAGAATTTGAAACTTGCACTCAATAACTATAGATAGCAAAGGCGTACACAGAATTGGACTTAATTACTGAATTTAGGCTGGTATCAAAGCTTGAGAAAACTAAAGTTCGAATAGTAAAGGATTTACGATATTTTTTCGTCATTTAAAATAACACCAGCGATGCATTATACATAAAAAACAATTTACAAAAACCTTACCCTATATCGTCAATGTGCTGTGAGGGTTCAATTATTTTAGTGAATATATAATCTTTTAGTTTGTTCCATAATTCATAATGAATATTTTTCTCCCATACAGTGGAGCTGATACCATTTAGTGATATTAGATCATCTAAGATATTGTTACGAGCTTTTTCAAATAATTCTTCACGATCCATTTCACGTAAATGAGGAAACGAATTTTTCCATTCTGTTTCAAGATTATAACGGATAGCTACATTTTTGGAGAGAAGAATTATTAATATCTTTAATGAAGAAACATTTTCAAAAACTATAGTATCATTTACGAAGCTACATGTATTGAAATTAGGTTTCATTACTGTATATTACGAACAGATGATGACGTGCACCTTTCAGAGTTAACACTTTTGACAGGGTGGTACTTGGCGACCCACATAGAAATTTTAAAAATCGGTGCAGGAGGTTGCCAATTACTCAACAAAAAATATTGTAGAGAAGAATTCAGACTCCTAATATAGTACAATCACCTGGATCTAGATGTTTTTAAATACGTTTATCAAAAACAGTTTACGTGAAAATCAGTAACAAAACAATCCTTTCATTTGAAAATATGCATGAAGATATATCAACAGGCTAAATCGAGCTTAGACAATGAAATATTTTAATATTTAGAAAGATGTATATCATTGAAGAAAACAGTAATATGTGATGAATTTTTGTACGGTTGATCAAAATAATATCAAAGGGTGGTATAACAGACTTATCTGAATAATTCGGAAATCTTGTAAAATATTGCACTAAAGACTTGAAAGGCTTTACATGACAGTGAGTTTGTCGGCGGAAAAGTCCTCACAGCATATTTTTCTCAACAATATGAAGACATCCGGCCAGTCGTTGAAATTTAAGAACTACTTAAAAACACAGTAATCTAATAAACAAAACAAACAGTCATTCGTTAATAATTTACCTCTATATGTATCAGCTTGTTGTTCAACTGAATCTTTGACCATTTTCCAGAATCTCTCTGATACAGCCTTGCTAAGATTAGCTGTGGTCATCTGAGACATACGAAGTGTACCTTCTTTAAATAGACGAGAATGACGGAAGAAATTCTCTTCATATTCTTTAATGCTATCTATACTTTCATCTTTCGTACCTAATTAATAGAAAGGGAATTAAAATGATGTCCATAAGATGAAGACCTACCTTTTCCTGTGACCACAGCAAAATAACCAAGTGCTTTCATAGGAAATAATTTACCCTCGAGAATTTGTCTGATCTATTATTAAAGAAAACCATTATTATTAAAGAAAAATGATACGTCTAAAAACTTACACGGTCTGGGCTGTGCAGATTTGTTTCAGCCAAATCCACTTTGGTCAAAACAAAGATAGTTCGTTTACCTGAAGGATCTACAGAAGATACTAGATCTGTTACATTGCTACGCTCAGCATCGATACTCCCATCTTGGATTACAAGTAAATAAAAAAATTGATCAATGTAAAAGTGAGTATATAAAATATCGAGTTTCGAATCAGTGATTTCTGAAGCTAAATCACATCATCTTTATTACAAGAAATACTGCTGCACTAAACGGATGAAGACAGTACATGTAAGCTTTTGAATCTACGTTTTCTGCTCGTTAACACAGGTTATTACGATACATAAGTAATCTTAAGGAAACTTATGTTCAGCTCGAATAGCTTAATTACAATATTTTTGGTTATACCACTGGGTGGCAACGGGTAGATAAGAGAATAATACTTCCTACAAAATTAAAGATATCAATAATCCTCAACCTGTACAAAACCTAGGTCCAAAGCTGATTGGTGAGTTGTTAATCATTTAGCACTATACCAAACGAATTGTGGTGCTGTTACGTAGTTGACTAACAATATTGCGAAATCGGTCGATAAAATCCTATCTGCATAAATGATTAGATAAAATAATGTTGGCTACCTTTCAATAACTGGTGTAAACAGTACTATATAAACAGTATATTTCGTATATGCTGTTCGGTGAAAAAACCAGTTATTTTTATACTTTCTCAGCTTCACAAGAAATATTAAATCCCAAATAGGTTTTTATTTATCTTACTTGGTACAATAAGACACCAATATCTAACAGTCCAGGTCAATGTGAACTACGAAGTAATAGAAGATAATCCAAGCTACACATTTATTCATTAATTAATAGAAATTTAAAAGAAATGACAAATTGGATAAAAATGGGAAAATTACCGAATCAAATCTGACCAATCGAAGAACAAGGAAAATATTACCAGATATATGAAGACAGTTTAAGATTTACAAGTACTAGGAAATTAAAACAAATGAAAATATGACGCGACATAAACCTTATAAGCCAGTTGACTTGTTTGAAATCGAGCTACTGATTAGCCTACAAATAGTTGCCAAGTAATTGATTTAGCCCAACCAAAGTAAGCGACGTTGTCTATACGGAATAAGAGGGCCTCTCATTTAAATGGCAGAGCTCACATAACACAACACTGAAATGTGCAAACAAATCGTAAATTGATGCTCTTTAAAAGGTGTAATATAAAGACGAATATACTAACCTTGAACACATAAAATAATCGCATTCGGATTGTTCATATATTGTCGAGCAACATCTTGTATAGTTTCACGTGTACCAGACTGCATACCCGTTGTTACAGTAGAAATGATGCCAGGTAGATCAACAAGAACCATCCTCTGAAGCCCAGGCCCTTTCACATTTAGAGAAATGACCTCAGCGCTGACTGTTTTACCACCACTAACAAGTGCCTTCATACGCATCTACAAAATGAAACCAAGCATATTTTATGGAGCGTATTTAAAAATGTAACTTTATTTTATTTATTTATTTTAACACATAAGTATAGGTACAGGGAGGCACCAAATACATATGCGCCACACAAATCTCAATTGATTTGTGTGAGGGCTGTGATACTGCCCGGGTGCCCAAACCGAAGCAGGTGGTTTTCTTAGGGGGCCACACCCCGAGCCTTCGACCTGAAGATCTGATCCACAAGGCAGTGGAGCATCGTAAGGAGATGCAGTCCCATGGTAGCCGGTGACCAACGATTGGTTCATACGCCATTCGTTCCCGCAGGATACTGGAGCCCATGTGCACCATTGGTTTGGGGTCCGGTTAAAGCGCCAGACATTCGCTTTTCGTCCTCTCATTTTTGTAAACAACACCCCCGCCACGAGAAGGCAGTGAGTGGGACTTCCCTGGCAGAGGCTATATACGCATGGCCATGTGAGAGCATTTCGAGAGGGAGAGCGGACTTTCCCCACTCTCGGCCGTACCAGGGCATTTGGGGGCAAAAATGTGACTAGCTAATTATCACATCTTAAGAATACATGAAAAGAATTTGTATGACAGCAAAATCATTTTTCTGAACAAATTAGCTTTGGATTTCGTTAGACAAATTTGCATTACATTATGGAGGAAAATGAAAGTCGTTATTGAAGCAAATAATCTGCGAAAGCATACGAGAAAACATTAGGGCACCAAAACCAAAATAATAGGTGAGTTACTAGTAAGTAAATCTTGAGCTGACTATTAAAACTGCAGTGCTGCAAATATGAATTAGAGAGGTGGATAAATAGCTTTCTAAATAGATATATTTGCTGAGTCTTTCTCCGAACCAATTGCTTTGAAAAGTATTTATTAGTTGTATTCCACTTCCTTACCTTTATTTAACACTATTATGAGTATAATTGTTGAATAATCTTTTCCTACTTCTCAGGGATAGATTCCTTAGTGGAGACTATCTTTATAGTTTACAGTGGATAAACGAAATAGCTGTTTGGCGGAAACGTGGACGAAATCCAGTCTCCTTGAATAACTTAAGTATCGATAAAAGAATGTTTGAAGTGAATAGCGAACGGTAATTAGCCAGTCAGTAAAAAACAACAGTAATCTGCTAACGAAATTGCATAATTTACCAATAATTATTCTTAAGACTAAAAAGCAGAACATAAGTTAAAGAGCCTTCGCCACAACATATATACACTTTTGACCCGTTTCACTATCTAACCTGGTCCGTAATGCCCAGACGACTTACCTCCGGCTCTTTTTAAAGATGGTGGTGACTTTCTTACTAATTAACTGATGACGTTGTTTACAAAGGTCTGGGAACTAGAGAGTGTACCAACGTCATGGAATGAGTCGATAGTTGTCCCTGTCTTTAAAAAGGGTTCACGTCCTTCCTGTAACAACTATCGGGGGATAAGTCTACTTCCGATTGCGTCCAAGCTATTAGCTTCCGTTATACTTCGTAGGTTGTCCAAAACCCGAGAAGGATTGACTCGCGAGGAGCAGGCTGGGTTTCGTTCCGGTCGAGGATGTATTGATCATATCTTCACCCTCCGCCAAATGTTAGAACACCGCCATATTTATCAAAGGCCAACAATCGTAATGTAGCTTGATATCAGGGCTGCCTTCAATTAGTTGGACAGAACTGTTCTCTGGGATTGTCTATTGAAGAGGGATATGCCTGAGAAGTTTAATAACATCCTAAAGGCCCTATATACAAACACCTCAGGCAGAGTGAGGGCACACAACCACCTTTCTCCATTATTCCATTCGAGCAGTGGAGTTAGGCAGGGTTGCCCAATCTCACCATTCCTCTTCAACTTTGCCATCGATGACATTCTGGAAACAGCTCTGACGGATGTAAGTAATGGTGGTGTGGATCTGTTGCCTGGAGAAAGACTTCTCGACCTTGAGTATGCGGATGATATTGTCTTACTGTGCGAGAATGCCCAAGCCATGCAATCCGCACTTGATCAGTTGGCAATCAGTGTCTTTAGGTATGGTATGTGCTTTGAACCTTCGAAGTGCAAAGTACTTCTACAAGACTGGCAGGACTCTAATCCTGTACTCACTCTGGATGATGAGCAGATAGAAGTAGTCGAGAAGTTCGTGTATTTAGGTAGCTGCATAAGTGCTGGTGGTGGCGTGAGTGATGAGATCAATGCACGTATAGTGAAAGCCAGAGCGGCTTATGCCAATCTGGGCCATCTTTGGCGCCTTCGTGATGTTAGTCTGACTGTAAAAGGTCGGATCTACAACGCGACGGTGAGAGCAGTTTTGCTCTATGCTTGTGAAACCTGACCTCTCCGGTTTGAGGATGTTAGACGACTCTCTGTGTTCGATCATCGCTATCTCCGATGGATTGCTGACATCCAGTGGCAACACCATGTTAGTAATGCAGAGGTTCGGCATCGTGTGTTCGGGCACAGAGACGATAATGAAATTGGTGTCACTATCTTGAAACACCAACTTCGGTGGCATGGACATGTTCTACGAATGTCGTCTCAGAGAATTCCTCGTCGTGCATTGTTTGCCTACGCTGGAACTGGTCGGAAAAAGTGGAGAGGTGGTCAGTGTATGACATGGTGTCGTGGTATGAAAGAAAGCTGCAAATGGCTGGCTTGTGTTGGTCCTTCACGACTCCCTGGCTGGGGTCCTAGAGATGGTGCGACACAGTGGCTTGAGACGTTATCAGATATGGCTCAGAATAGAAGCCAGTGGCGATCCCGCTGTAACCTTCTTTTCCTTTCTTCATAAACAGTGGTTACAACTTCCTTGACTGGGAGATTTCTTCTGATTATATCTTTTCGTTTGCCCCATTATTAATACTATTACACTACCTTACAGTAATCTGGTCGTTATTGTTTTTTTTGCTTCTCTTTAAATTCCTCATTGTTTTGTGTGGCACATATATATTTGGTGCCCCATTGTACCAACATTTGTGTTCAAATAAAATAAATAAATAAAGTAATGCAGGTAAACATAAAAAAGGTTTGCAAGGTTTATCGCAATCACGCTACAGTGCTGATTACCTATCTAATTAACTGACCGTTTACTTAACGAAACCTTGTTAATTCAAGACACTGTTATTTACCCAGCGACTATAATAGGTTAGAACCAAGAAATATCCTAATGACCTTCAAAATGCCAACATATTTATGCTGAGTATTGAAATAAACACGAAATAAATAGGATGACGGCTTCGCAGGGATATATCTCTTTACTGGTTTATTTGCACTGAATCAATACAACGGAAAATCTTATATTTATGTACTACACTAATAATCTTTGAAAAGCAAACAGTAATCCTAATGTGAACAGCTGGTAAGATAAATAATTAGGAACCTCAACCTTATACAAACTTCATGCACCAATTAGGGCGGAATCACTAACCTCTATCTCTTTCCTCAACGATGCAAGTTCGGACTCTTTTGTGAGATCGTATTCACGTGAACCATCTTTGAATGAAGCAACATGGTATGGGCCCTCAGAAAGAGTTACTTTGACCGGAGATCGGGTCATCATCTCTCCACCGCCTCTTGGAAATATTCGAGCCTGCGCTATCATTTCTAAAACAGATGTTTTCCCGGAGCTTTGATCACCAACAACAACCACTCGTGGTAATTGGTCCTACGAAGTACATAGGAAGACAAATTATGAACAAATATAATAAACAAAATGGAACTTGGTTTAAAAACAACTTTATATTCCTCAACAAGTTGTTTACATTTACCTGAGCGTTGTATGCTGAATCCAGATCTGATAATTCATCCAAAACTTCTGAATACATATCAATCAAAGATTTCTAGGAACAAGTTAAGATAGGACTCGCTGACATACTTTGATACGACCTTTTTGTGAAGATTTATGAGACTTAAGAAGAAGTTCACTGCGCAACTCCCTATTCTCCTGAAGCAGTGCTTCAATCCGTTTATGGAACGCTAACTGAGTCGATAAATAGTATCATGATCTTAAATACCTCGTTTTTGAGAAGAGCTTCTTGCAGCTCCTCAATACTGATTTGCTTGAGCTTCTGTTTGACAGGCTGAAGTTATTTACATTTTTGTGCAGTGTTACCTTATTTAGATCATCATTCGTACCAGAAACGAGCAATGAAGAGGCGGCTTCTGTAACAAAATAGTCAGTTCAATATTTCAAAACCTTTCACACCTTCATGTTCATTTGGTACGTGTAGCTTCTTTTCAAAATTCGAAAAAAAACCAGAACCAGACTAAAGCAGACATCATTAAAGAACTTCAGGAACATACTGTTCTAGATTCACCGATAGATGCAGCATATTCTTTGAAATGCTGAATTGTTTCGTTGATCCTATCTATTGGTACGTAATCATTCAGCGTTATTTTCGACAGAGAATCTTTAAATTCGTCATATTTCTGTACTTATTAAGGAAATAAAGCCCAATACCTTAGATATCGTGTACGAGCCACCAACACCTGCACCCACAACAAGGTAGCGTAACTTTAAAAGTCTTGATGCCAGCTTTCCTATTTGCCCAGCTATATTTCTTTTCTGAAGAACCAAGGGACCGATATTATTGCAACTTCTAGTCAGCATTTCTTGCCAGAATCCCTATGCGTTTAAAATCATGCCGAGATTTAGGAAGCGCATTATCGGATAATAGCGCTTATTTTGTCCAATAAATCCTACATTCAACATACTAGTTAGGAGCTAGTATGACCAGTTAAGTACTTAACACTCTTATCTTGTTGTTAAAAAATTAAGAATGATTTTTAATCGATGTGGTTCGACTCGCTGCTCGGCTACAGCATTTCAACCCTTAAACGTATTGGTCAACGGTTGACGAATGTATCTAGACCTTCAAAGGTTATCGTACAGTACATCCCACCTTAAAAATATCGGCTAAATGCTGAGTTAACGTGGCTTCATGTGCGAGTAGTAAATAGACAATAACAATAATTAGCTCTCTAATTATTCAATATTGAAGCTGATATTCAAAACTAGTTCATGGGTTAAGAGGTAAATGGTCTATGGTTCTCAGGGTAGTTTGTGAACTGATTCCACTACATCAATAGGCGAACACAAAGAAATAATGAAATTCTTCCGCTTTTTTCTTAAAAGCATGTAGCAGTAAGTAGATTTTATAATTTCGTTTTGTAAGTATTCGACATTGATGCTGACATCATTGGCTTAACTGGACACACCTTAGCTGAAGGCGTTTGATCACGCGTCCGAACCATATTACGAGTGGGAATGACGTACTGTGCATACCTTGCAATTGCTAGTCAGCTTAGATAAAACGTTTCTTAACATATGGATAGCTTTCCAAATATATCAAAATTGGGTAACACCCAAAAACTGGAGATACAACATGGTAGAACGGACTGCAGACACAATTTCTACTCCTTAAGAGTTGTCAAATGCTGGAACTCGCTGCCAGCTGAGCTAGTCCAAGCAACTTCCCAGGAGTCCTTTAAGAGGCGACTTGATCTATTCTTAAGGACTAAGGATAGTATCCTACTATGATTTACCAATTCATTTTCTTTCTCTTTTATCGTTAATATACCTAGGTTCTTGCCTGGAGGTATTGGTGATCCACTGCTACTAGACACGGAAGCCTGTTAAGCGAAAGCTTCTTCTATTCCGTCCACAACCATTTGAACCATTTGAATATCTGACTCCTGATTTGACTGTATTAGTATCCTTCGATTATGGCATTGTCACGAGTACGTGCACCGTCCGATTAGGAATGCCTGTGGCATCTTTTGATATACCATGCGTGCAGCAGTCACCCAGGTTTTCTTGAAACCTTACCCGTCTTCCACAGCACGTTGCTTAGTGCCTAGATTTTGAATACCTGAGAAGCTTTATCGTGATTATTGACTATCGTGGAAGGCATAGTATTTGTGAATCTCGTGACTTCCATTAGTACAGGAAGTAAGTCAACATTATTGCGTCTTCCTTAAAATGCACGACTTTAGCACGGTCAATGCTATGGTTATTGTTAGTTCCATATTCATTATGGATATAGAGTTTAGATTTGCCGTGAAGGACTTTGAAGCGTCCTTCGTATGCCATTTTGAAGGGTCTTTGTAACTAGTCTTGACGTAAAAAACGCGCAAACTATATCGTAAGGCAGGTTGAACGAAAACGCCATTTAACTATTATAGATTGGAAACAGGTTTAACTAAACGCACTGTGTTTTTAAGCCTGCTTGTGTTGAAGTTTAGTACTGTATTCATCATGAAACATGAAAATTCCACTATCTCTTCTGGACGTTAGAGTGTCGTTTCGTAAACGAGTTGCGTTGAAGTGTATCCAATGTCAGCTTACACTGCATTGCGAATATCGAGTAACGCGATTAAAAAGACGTCAGTCTACTGTGAGACATCTGAAGCTGAATGTAAAATAATTCCACAGACCTGTGGGCTTGTTGTTGGTAGGCGGTCATTCGGAATCGTGTGATTCCCATCAATGTAAAAGGATCACAAGAAAGTCCGTATTCAAAACGGCACTCACGGTCTTTAGCGATGATTGAAAATCAGTGGAATTTGGTAAACCATTTTTCGACGATGTGACATTTGTTGTGTCTAACCACTTTAAATTTCTCGCAGCTTACACAACAGCGTACACACTCATTCACGTCTTTGTTCATACCATTTTGGCAAAATCGTTCTCCTGTAAGCTTCATGTTTATTATTATTATTTGAAGCAATTCGTCCCCTTTATAAATTTTGATAGAACAATGAGAAGACGGAGTTTATCTGAAAAATGTGATATACTCCCTCTATACATTTCGATTTATCTGGTCACATGAATATTTGTCAGGGCATTTAATATGAAAATTATTAAAGGTCAATTAAATGAAAGTCCAACGAAAAAGTAAAAAAGGGAAGAGAAATAATTTTGTATCGTATGAAAAGAATTGTCGCTTTATCATAGGGCATAGAATGACTTAAGGATTGCCTGGTTAAATTCAAGTTCACGACAAATTATTTTTATACACATCAGGAGGGCTTATCATTATTACTGTTATTCACAAACAACTTATGGGTACATAAGTATGATAATTAGGACTATTTGAATTATAGTACGAACTAAGAATCCGAGAAATAACGCAATTTAACCAGAAGTATCAGATGAACGCGAACGAACTCATTGTATTTAGAATTCGAAATCAAACAGTCATCAAGCACAAAGGAATCATTAGTTTATACAGATATCACAATAAGTGCTGTGAAGAAACCATTTTGGATTTCTTCAGAAATGCAATAGTACACAACTTTCAGTAATATCAGCATAATATCTGCCATATTGTAAAAAACAGGTTTTATGCAATTCAGAACAATATTGAGTTGACTTTAAAGAAAGAAAGGGGGAAAATGAGGAAATAGAAATGAGGGAAACACGATCAACGTAAATAACTCAATAAGCGTGTTTTTGAACGCATGTATCGCCAATGAATATTGAAAAAAAAGAAAAACGAAAAAAAATTTGAAAAACAAATAAGAAAACAAGTCATCATTACAGTAAGATTTTACGGTAGAACAAGTTGAAATCATGAATCAATTGAAGGCATCCGAAAACAACCATACCTAGCTATATATGAAAAAAACAATGTATACTTTCTTTTAAAAATGTTAGATTCTCTAAATGATGACGGCAGAATCTGAGTATATTTTGATTCCATTAGTTTACCTAACAGCTAATGAAGCTCACGTTTCGGAATAAGTCGGGTGAATATATGAAACTTACTGGCTACAAGCATTCATTACTCCACGTATTTCTATCAAAATCAATCGTATTTTTATTATTTAATATTTCATATTAAAAAGCAGTTCAGAATGTCTAATTTGTTTGAATCATGCAATTTAATAGCTTTATCCTTATGAACTTTTAGCGGTGGGATGAACAAGATGACATCTCATCTGGAATTTTCGTAATTGTGCTAGAACTAAGCTTTTTACAAATTTTACTCAATGCAATCCAACCCACCTTTGAATTGTTCTCTGGAAAATAAGTTGGAACACCTTAATATATGTGGAAACACATTCGGATATGGTCATAATTCTTCTTCTCAATATAAATTAAGGGATAAGACTGGATATCCCCCGGACACACCACAAAAATATGTCAATGACATGAAAACAGCAAGACATAACACAAGAGCGATGTTGTTTGATCCTGAAAGGGGTTCTTTGAGCCCGAAAGCTACTGAAAATAATTATTGCAGTAAGTGGGATAGCACTTTATAATGAACATAGATGCAACTAAGTTTGTTTTTAGACTACTTCAGCGAATGTTGTAGCGCAATCTCGCTATATTGTTTTTCATTAGGTCAAACTTTTTCACGTATTGGCCGTTGTATATAAAAAAGTAATCTTACTTGTAGAGATACTTAATATCTTTATATTTTTTTAAACTAAGTTTATGTAAAAAGCCAAAACACATACTAGTTTTGATGTCATAGGAATATCCATCAAGAATTAAAGGTAACTAGCTTGGTTTCAACAGGCCTTGTGGTGAACTCAATCACTAGTTCTTTTGACTTGCAGTGTTCAGGATTGTACTATGTAGCCTGATTATTGATAAAATATTTCGAGTTGTTTAGTTCTTATTTTGCCGGCATTTACTTTATGTATCAGCGCCGATGATATCAGATCATATGTTTTGGCTTTTCATCCATTTGCGTTGCAGCTGACTGATTGAGTGTCTAGCCTGAAGCTGCGTGCGTAAAAGGCATCGTGTGTTAGAGCGTAAAATGCTAACGAACGGTAGTACAAGCAGCTCAAGCACCAAGTTAGTATGTAAAACAAGCGTTTATTAAGTAACTAAAACGATCAGTGACAGTTTACACCAATAAAGAAGTCAAACTAAGACAACCTAATAATTGAAACTAGGAGTTGATAGATTGAGGTCACATATTCATTACAGGATTATGATTCACAACTACGATGTTTAACTCAACCACTTTTAAAGGAACTGACACAAAAAATTATATATTTTATTCAACCAACATCAGCCATCCGACATAAAGTAATAATCACGAAGTTCGGCTAGCTATATATTCAAGGGCCGGCTTTCATCATGGGTCACATATATTCATTAATTTACTTGGAGTAAAATAAGTTATCCGAAGAATGTTTGAAAGCAAAAATCATCCTAGGCAATAACGTTTTACGAAAGAACTTGGTCGTTATTCACATCTCATGAGAAAAATAAAAAAGCAATCATAAGGCATATCTTTACGAAAACATATTCTGTCAAAAAAACTTTTTTTTGCCTCTTGTCCATTGTTACACCATGAAAGTCAGAAATGAGTTATTTTCCTCTTACAAAACATTGACTGCAATAAGGTATTCACATATTTTAGATTACTCAATATAAAAGATAAGATTCACTCAAACGGAATCCTGCTTTGTCTGTGATCACTACATGTAGTGAATTTGTAACTCTGCTATGCTTCCATTTATCACTATTCTAATCATTACAAATCGAGAAGTAGGATTAACTTCAAGCTGTTTGAGTCAATGCTAACAACTCAATTTGCTTCCAAGTAGTGAGCGCAGATAACAATACATTTGAAACTAGATAGTTGAAAGGATGTTATAAAATGCATATACTTGTTTATATTAAACGCCCATGTACTCAAATCACGAAAGAGCTAATTATA